ACTGGTTTTGCAGGCTCCTCTATGTGGTTTCTAGGGGGGGGGGGGGGGGGTGACAGGGTCACCCCAGGAGGAGTGGTTGGGTCTGTACATATTTAGGGTCACAATCTTCTCCTGTGAGGCAAGTTTAGGGTCTTGAAAAGCACGTTTAAAATGAGCTGTGGCTCACAGGACAGCTCTGCTGAATAAGTATCCAGGCCTTGCGTGCGTCTTCATAGAGCCACAAACATCTTCGGTGATGGCACTGCTGCTGTCAGGCTGAAGATACACGGTAACCAAGCTGAACCCTCACATCAAGCTGAACCCTCACATCAAGCTGAACCCTCACATCACGCATCTCACACATACTGTTTATTGCATCTGTATTTTAGCACATATGCACATACATTATCGGCCATTTTCTATATATTGTTTACATATTACATCTCTGACACATTTATTTTTTTATTTCGGAAGCCGCTAGATTTAACCAGAGATTACTGTGGTGCAGAGATTACTGTGGTGTTAATGATAATTATGAAGTGACACAGCTTGGAATCTCTTGTGGATATGACATGCAATCTGTGCAGAACCATCCAAGTCCTTCTTCCCAAATGAAACCTGCTTGCAAATAAAGTTAAACTTGAATGGGTCTGTGCTTCGAATCCCTTATTTGTATTGTTTTTATATACTTAAAAGTTTGTGTGTTGCAGTTAAAAAGACTGGCATGGTTCATGGACTTGTAATTGCTGGAGTGACACCTAGGTGGCAGCAGTGATCCAGAAAAATATTGTAGTGCTTTAAGTGCCTTGATTAAAGCCATGCAGGCTGCTGTGTGCTCAGATACCCCCTTGAGATGGGCAACACTGCCACATCATGCATGTCAGCTAATGGCTCATGGCCAGGGATATAGCACTCTTCATAACCTTCTATTTTACAGGGTACAGTCAGCACAACTTTAAGCGTTTATATAGACCACCTTATCAAACGAAGCAGCTCAACACAAGTACATTTCTCAAAGCTATAAACAAATGTTTTATACATTCCAGTCACATCAATGTCCCTTAGCCACGATGCAATGCCACAATGTTGGCTGATCACAGTGTTATAATTCTTAATTAATAAATCCTTCTGCAGCTCCTGAACTTCAGCAAGTAGAGCATTGCAATAACAACACAAAGGTCTGTATTCAAATATCAAGGAGTGCGTGTGTGAACCTTCTCTCTATTGTAAGTTGCTTTGGATAAAAGTGAGTGAAATATTAGATTCCGTAGCTTGGGCTACTCACAACATGTAGAATAACCAATTAGTGCTTTTCATTTGGTTCTGCCAGCTAAAGGAATCCTCTGAATTGACATGTGGAAAAGCTGAATGACCTTTGAACTCGCATCTTTTCTGCCCCTTTTATAGAAACTCCACCCTGCGCCCTTACTGGCCTCTGTGTGTCACATGATCACGCTGCAGGTGCGGACCCACATTGGCCTGAGTTGGAGGCTCCGTTGCTCCATGCTGTGCTACAACACTATCGCATGGTGGTGTGTGGCTCTGCGGGTTAAACCTCTGTGCCCACCATCAGAAGGTCGCTGGGTCAAGTCCTTTGGCTAGCAGAGTGATTTCAGTGTTAGGCCCATCAGTAAGGCCGTAAAACACCGCCCCCCCCCTTTGTTCCAGGGACTGCCCGACCCTGCTTTCTCAATTGTTCGTTGCTACAGATGAAAGCATATGCTAAAAAAATAATTATCTTTCAGTCTGAGTACTCCTGTGGGTCTGTGGTGTCCTCCAGGTGCAAAGAGTAAAGGGAGGGAGGTGGCAAGGTTTAGGTGCATTTAGACCCTATTTAGGGGGGGCTTCAACCCCCCTATTTTTTGTCTCAGCCTCCCCTGAAAAAATAATTTTTCTAAAACCATTTAGTGATGCATATTTTTGTATACATTTTGTCCCCCCACTTGACAAACTTTATCATGAGGGACACACCCTTACTCAGCTAATTTTATTGTGGAGGACCACAGGAGGAGGGTGAGTCCCCTTAAGGGTCAAATCCTAGAGTCACCCATATAGAAAAGCGTGGGGGATGGGGGGCATTCATCCCAATCTGACCTCCTGAGTTTGTTGTATCGAGTTTGGCCACAGGAGCAGCTGAACGAAGCTCTGTTTTGGTTTCTTTGATAAACAGGAAGGAGAACAAAATGTCTGCCCTCATGGCTCTTATTACTTCCTGAACACTCACGAGAAGGTCAAAGGTCAGAGGTCATGCCCGTGGTTTCTAGGTGTAGGACTCTTGGCATTCTCCCTCTCTGCAGCTGCGTGGAATATTGTAATACTCACTGGTGAGTTTAAGTTAAATTTAATGGGGTGATGTTTGCTGTCATATGCACCATTGGCTTTAGTCCTGATCCCGAGCTGCAAAATATCTAGATCATATTTCGTATGGTGCAATATTTGGACACCCTGATTGGTGGGCTGCATTTTGTTCTTAATCCAGTAAGGAATGAATTCATTCTTGTTTTGCTGTAGTACTTCAAAGTTTGTTTTGTGTCATTTGTTTGAGGTTGAAATATGAGTTATCTATACTAGACAGGCTTGAAAATACAAAAATGTGTAATATACACTTCAAGGGATCACTTGCATCATTATCTTCCCAAAAATAGGGTGGCTGGTTCTTGGGTCTTCACTTTAGTTCAGGGACTAACCTAAGCAGAATTTGATTGGGGAGATTGCACGACTGTGGGAATTGTGATGACTTCAAAGCGAGAGAAAGGCTTTTAGAAAGTATATTGAATATGATGGGCTTCAGACATGTGAAATGACAAAGAGGAGAAGCAGGTGTCCAGATCTTCAAACCGCTCCCATCTGGATATTGACTTTCTTTGCTGTGCAAACTAGTAAGGGCATGTCATGGTTGGGCCAATGTCTTGCTCAGAGTTGTGATTTTGTTACTTTTCCATTGAGTTGAAGTGTTTGAACTCTCTAGATTTGGGAGAGAAAAATCTGTGTTTAACTTCTCCTCCAATTAATGGATTTTTTTTGTCACATACGTTCTCGGCTATGCTCCTCACACACATTGGTACCATTTTGAATCATCATATCCATTTCCAGAATATCTTACAGGCGCAAGTATATTTTGGAACAATGAACATGACTTCTGAGGGAAGTTCCCATTATGACAAGTTTATTAATGACAGCAATTCTATGACGAGTATAATTTCATTGGTCAGCATGACCACAGAGCTCTATTGCCACATCTCATATACTTGAGTTAGGCCGAAGGACATCTAGCAACAGAGCTTTGTGTCGCTGATCACTTTGATCCATTACCACACTTTTTTCTTTGCAAGTTCCATCCCAAAATAACCTGGCCAAAAGCATGGGTTCCCTGGCCAGAAGCAGGTCATCCTTAGTCTGACTTCTTTCAGGGTAGAATCTCTTACACTGCTCAATGAGTTCCAGCTGACGGTTCATACCATTTCTAAAGAACAAAGCATGTTGTGGTGTATCATTAACACTTACACAGCACAAATTTATGAGTGCCTAAAGACTAAATCCTCTTTGTGTAAAACCCTGTCTGAATGTTGATGTTGCTGTAGGGGAGTCTTGATGAGGAGGCCAGGTCGGCATCTCGTGAGTGTGATGTTTAATAGATGTAATGCTGCTCATTGAATGCTGCCAGTTTTCATTCTGGGATTCTTCAAGGTTCCCTTTGAGAAAAGGCAGCTCAGACATTCAGACTGTATTAAGCAGTGTTGCTAGAATGCCAATGCTAAATGCTAAATGCTAAAATCATCTAAGTGTATGGGCCTTGTTATACAGACAAAATCAGAGAGTTAGTGAAGCTGTAGTTCACTTCTTCCCGCTTTAAAGGCCTCCAGGGGAAAGCCTTCGGACGGCAGAATGTGTTGCCAAAATATCATGAGGAGAAGCTTTTAGCCTCAGCGACTTTGTGTGGATCTGGGGGTGGGGGGTGGGGGGCTTAACGTAGGCTATCATTAAGCAAAACATCAAACACTCCTGGAAGTGTTGGGTTGACATATGGACTATAGAGCACAGATGACTACATAACCACAGACTAGGAGTCAAGAGTATTCTGCTTTGGAAGATTATAGTTTAAATAAATAAAATGTAATAGTATTACAGTATTACAGTGTAAAAGTATTACAGTGAGGTGACGCAGTGATGTAGAGTGTGAATGGTATTTTGTGGTTTGTCTGTTCTCCGTAGGCACTGGATAACCAGTATCTCTACATTGCCCTCAGTGAGTTTGTATTTATGCCCTGTGATGGACTGGCATCCCGTCCCCAGTTTTGTGCCCTGTGCTGCTTGGGTTAGGCTCCGCCCATCCCAACTGGATAGAATATGAGTGGAGGAAAGGACAGATGTATCATAGTGATTGTAAGGGTAATAGTTTCTGATTTTCCAAATTGAATCGAAATTATACAGGAGCCACAGTGAGAAGCTGTAGTCCCTCCTGTGCCTAATGGTGCTTTTCCACTGCCACCAGGAACCAAGCTTTACCGGAACCGTACTGCAAACTGATGGTTTTCCATTGCAAAGCCTGCGAGCCGTACCCAACCGGTACCTGTGCTGACAGGGCTTGTGAAGATACCGGTGTTCTGTGCATGGATTGTCTGAAGGAAAAAAGGGGCATATTCTATATATTATTCATTATTAGTAATATCGTAATATAACAGTGATGCACATGATCAGACTTATAGTTCTAAAAATGTCAAATGAAACCAATAACTTCTTCCCTCAATAAACTGCCACTAAATCTGAATCTGAAGGCATCTTGGCACTAAACCATAATCCTTTGCCTTTCCAAAATGTTTTAATACTGCATTGTTGAAGCATTTGCTGTGTTGCTGCCTGCCTTTCTATGGGCTGTATTAGGCCGCTGCTCTGATGAACAGCCTCTTCATTCAGAGTTAATTCCTGTGCAACGCATTGTCGTTTTTCTTCAATAATTCTCTCTGGCTTTTGTGTTTTCCTCTCTCTTTTTCTTTTTGTTCCTTTGGCGTGGCGACCTGGTTCCTCAAAAGATCTTTGCCAGTCACGTTATAGGTAATTACTAAGGAAGGGTTTAAGCATGGGTGGAGTTGGGGGTGTCGTCAGAGTACAGGGTTAAAGGGTGTCAGTGGACTCCCACCCCCCTGTAGGAAGATTTGCAGGTTGGGAGAGTTTCTTTTGTCTGGTGCTGTGTGGCTTTTTTGTGTGTAACATGACTTTTTTTTTTACTCAGACAGACTATTGAGGGGTCTACTATGCTAAGTGTTGATAGATCAGCCATTTATAGTTGTATATGCTAACAAAGCTATAGTGAACTATGAATGTATCAACTACGAATCTTGGCTCAGTTGTGTCAGTCAAGTGCCCTTTCTCTATAGAGACCTCTAGAGACTCCTCTAAAGGATTTTTATGTCAAGCTAGGGCACTCATTAGTCTCTCTCTCCGTCTTCTATTCTCTTTCCCATTCTGTTTCCTTCTTTTTGTACTATGAAATCTGATGTGTTGAATGATTGTCAATAGTCTGCTACATCCTGGCCTTTCTGAGGTCGTTAAAACAGCTCCACTACATTCGTAATTAGTTTAATTGGACTGATTTTGCAGTGATTTCTAAAGACCCAAATGGGTACAAGGATTTAAGTACATTTTCCCCCTCAGCGGCCTCGTGAGTTTAAATGCCAACCCCTCCCCGCCTCGCAGAAAACCAGTCAACCACAGATCTGACCTCTCCTCACCACCACTAAAGTTAGTTTAAAGTTTAACAGGTGAAATAAGCTGGTCAGCGCTGTATGGGTACCTACCATTGTGACTTGCAGGTATCTGCTTTCTCCAGTCACTTGTCCTTAAAATCACTGTGACCCCAAGCAAGTAAGACACAGTGGTCAGATGCACTGCTGTACTGTATTAATTGACTGGAGTGGTTATATTTACTGGGTTAATGGACCTGAATGGTCATATGAATGGGTGCTCCAGATTAATAAACCGAATACCTCAGCTGTGCTGGTACACTGGGCTCATGGAGCAGGCTGTAATGGCAGAGAGGTCGATTTCACCATTTAATCAAACCATTCTAGGGCTAAATCTTTTGCATTCTGCATTTGTAGGCATAGGGAAAATTAATCCATACAGACAGACAGAGGATTTTTCTAATTAACGCAGAATTTGATTTGTTACTGAATTTAAAAGCTACTTCTCTTTGGTAATTATTTTAGGTGATGCTTGTGATTTATGTGCTTTAGTGGTAGTTGAAATCATGCGCATATCCTGTTTTGTCATGTTTATATGTAATTGCAATGACCTGGTAATCCAACAACAAGTCCTTTCAGTGTTAGGGTGTGTGTTTTGTGACTGATGAGGGTCTGAGAGAGAGAGAGAGACAGACAGACAGACAGACAGACAGAGAGAGAGAGAGAGAGAGAGAGAGAACTTATTAATCCCTTAGAGGGAAATTCATGTTACAACAGCATGTAACAAACATGTAACAAAATATAACATACCTCACACCAGGCATGTTTAATTGGATTTTTTTTCCTTTTTAATTCACAGCCTCTACATCACATACAACCAACTGGGCACCAAAAACTGGCTCATTAGCCAGTATGGCGGCTCACAGGGGCCCTGCTGGTTTTCTGGGTGATGGGTAAGAATGTGAGAAGGTGTTACCAGTATGGAGCGCCTGGCCGTTCCCAATTCTCCCCCCCCCCCCCCCCCCGACTGTTAGATTTCAGTGGGCTTTGCTGCCTGGGACGTCGAGTAGGTGATCTTCCCCAAGTCATTAAAGAGAGGCTTGAAAAGACTG